TTGGAGGTGTTCCACAATAAAGTTGTGGGACATTCATCCCAAGAAGAAGAGAGACTTTCGTCTTTTGCTTTTGTCCTTGTCGGCAAAGCTGGGGTCCATAGCTAGCCAGGGGACCCCACAAGGCTTTCAATATGACATGAGCTAATAGGATGAAAGAAATAAGTAATCATACCAGAAGTTTATTTAATGCAGTGCAACCATGAGAAGTGTTTACTGGTTCATGGGTGTCCTGGTTTAGGGCAAATTTTGGGAGGAAACTTTTGAAGTGGTCTCCTCTTGAAAGCAAATTCAAGCAGTCCCTCCCTCCCACCAGTTCAGGAAAGATTTCCTTGGAGAAAAGTGGAAAAAACTGTTTATTTATCAAGCAAAGTGCTGACAAACATGAGAAAATTAATAATATTAAACAATGGAACTTCTTGTCATTCTGAGGAAATGGCAAATTCAGAAAGTACTTCTGTAGTTCAGAGAGAGTCCTCTGTGGGTGTTTGTAGGCTTACTGATTGTCTCTCAGTCCCTCTGGTGCTGGAATGCAGCATCCTGGCCCCCAGTGGGCCACAGGCATGAGCTCCCCTTGTTTTTCTGGGTTTTTGGACCAGGGCAGGTTTGAACAGTTCCAGGAAAAGAAAAGCTACAATCCTGTGAACTTCTCTGCCTCAGCTAGCTAAAAAAACTAACTAAAAGCAAAGGAGAGCTCTCTCCCACTGTCCATGCTGCAGACAACACAGTCCAAGGGGGAGAGAGCTGAAGCTCTTATCTCTATGTTTTTGAATACAGCCACAAAAAAATTCCACCACTTTTCCTTCTCCCCCCTTTTGCTCTCAGATCTAGTCTTAAAAAGCACAAAACTTATATCTGGGCTGAACAGATGAATGGGGATACAATTTATCATCATAAAGTCACCCCAGGACATTCCACTCCTTATCCCCATATCATCAGTTTACTACCAAAACTAATATATATTCTAACTCTACACACACATACATTTATACATACATATACATAGAATGGGTCACTACCATCCTAGTCTTTAAGACTCACAGGGTGGGAAAAATGGTTGGCACAAATTGGAATAACAGTTGCCTTCAGAATTGTATTCCTAATTGTTGGTATTGGCCTGGTTAAATGTATGATACGTTTGCTCGTTTCCTTCTCTCCCTCTGTACGCTATATTCATATCACCACCACTGAAGAAAGCTACACTGTTGTCCCTTGAAATAATGTCAAATCACAGGCTGGATGTAAGAATCAGATAACAAGAGAAAGACATCAAAAAGTGCTTGGTCATTATGTCTGCTTATCATAATCTCTATTGAACACCTGAAAACTGCGTGCGGGATGGACTGTGAACATCCCACCTTGAGGTCCATAAAAAGGAAGGCAAAATATTTGCAAAAGTGTGGAGGGGAAAGAGAAGGGCAGAATATCTGGCCTTCACCTTCCCCCCTCCGCCACTGCTACTGCAAGACACCCTGTTGTGGGAACTCAAAATGTCCCTCAGACATTTTCAGAGGTTCCAGGCCTTGGTCAGAAGCATTTGAGACCCTGGCAAGCAGCTGAAAACAGCTGGGATTTTGAGTTTGGGCCATGGAATGAGTTACCAACTTTGAGGGTGGAACAAGCGGTCACAGAGGGTTAGATGGTATAGTAGAAGTAATTACAAATTAGAGGGGAAAATTTTTTAGTATTGTACAGGGGGTTTTTAACACCTGTACAGGGGGGTTTTACTTTGTACATGGGGGTCAGGAGTTCTAAGATGGAGGAAAGTGGGCCTGATCCTGTTCTTCCTCCTTCTTCTTCCTTGCCTCCAAGTTCTTGGTGACGTTGGCACTCACAGATTGGTTTAGTGTAGAAAAGCACGTTGTAACATAGATAGTAGGTATTGGGGAAAATCTGTAAACATATAATACGTAATATATCATATAAAAGATAGCAGCAGCCCTGGGCGGGGAGAGAGAAGACGAAGACACCAGACAGTGAGGGTGTCAGGAGTGTGTGTGTCTCTGCCTGGGTCGCTGACCAAAGCAGCTGCAGCGGGCAAAGACAATCTTTTAGATAACTAGCAAAAAACTGCCTTGAGACCGAACAACAAGAGGCTGTGGAGTTTTTCTTTGGAAGCACGGGTTGGAGGAGAGACTTTACCACCACACGAGACCCCTGAATCAATCCCGGGGTTCTCACACCCTGTGGCCTCCTGGAGCCGACACCACCAGTTTAAGGAAAACCCCCAATCGTGCATCCTTGGAGTGAAGTCAAGAGTGAGTTCTGGAAACCCTCCCTCTCCCTGCTCCAGTGTCCTGTGGTGAGAACTGTGGTAGATAGGGACAGGCGAGCGGAAGATCTCGGGATGTGACGGAAAGAAAGACCCTTCCCCCCTTCTCCCTGCTTCACGTTATCTATCACCCCCAGAGCATGTAACCACACCTAACCCAGTAGTTTTCCACTCCCGACTAACCTAGAGACCCTACCAACCCCCCTCTGAGGTAGCAAAGTCCCCCAAGACTATTTAAACCCATGAGATAAGATAATAAATGCTTTCGACTGTCCACCACATTGGTGTTAGCGTGTTGTCGTTAGCCCGAGTAGCCCGGGCGAGGCCGGGCTGCCGTGCTGTCGCCTTGAAACCAGGTTGCCGTTGCCACCCCTGAAGGCAACATATCTGGTGCTGAAACCCGGGAAGAGAAATTAGCTCGGGTAGCGGGAGTTCACCTGGACAAGGGCAGCGGCCGGAGCGGTCAAACCGTATCTTGGCCAGGGAGACGTCCCAGGACCCGCGAGCGTCACGGACAGCATCGCCAGGGTCGTAAGTGTGATTTATAAGCAGTGGGGTATCGAGTGTAAGCTCAAAGACTTTTATCTTGCTATAGCAAGGCTGCTTGAGTTTGGGGCGATTGAACGCCCCGTGGATGTTCTACATCCGGAAATATGGGAAAAATGCACAGCCACGCTGACCGAGGACACGAAAACCTCAGGCAGTGGCAAGAGCCTTAAGGCGTGGGGCAGAGTAGAGAAAGCCCTGCGCAAAGCAATAGAAGAGCAGGAGACATGGAGCGCGGCGCTTACGTGTTTACTGGTTACGCCCAAGCTCGGGGTAGGAGCGGGAACGCAAACCGCCCCTGAGGACAATCCGCCCGGGAGCGGGGATCCGGGGGGGCCCGGCGCGTCACCTCCCTCCCTGGACCAGAGCCCAACCCCCGCCACGAAAACCTCCCGGAAACCCACGGCTTCCCCGTCAGTCCCGCCTCTGCTGGTCAGCGACCCGTTGCCGGAGGTGCAGCAGCGCGCGGAATGCTTTTGGCAGGGGCTGGCGAGGGAAGCCAGAGACGCAGAAACCACAGCTCGGGAGGAGATCCTAACCACGCCGCCACCATACTCCTTTGAAAATGGTGCTGGCAGCCAAGGAGAGGGGCGGGGCGCGAGCGGTCTCGGCGCGAAAAGCTGGGAGGCGCTGCTTAAAGACTGAGGCTTTGATTAAGGCCTGTGTCTGAATGCTTAAGTGCACTAGTCCTAACAAAGTTGCAAGGCAAAAATATATAAACCTCTGATGTTTCATATGAACAATTTTGTCTTCCCTTGATGACTTGTAATCTTACATGCATAAAATAAAAAATTGTAGACATATAAATATTTTGGACATAATTAGCGATTTCAGGGACACTCGTGCGCGGGAGAAAGAGGAGGAGAGTGGCAGAGGGCACAAAGCCAATCGGCAGCCGTGCCTGACGCCGCTACCATTTAAGGGAGAGACCTCCCCCTGCAGGAGGCAGGGCGAGCCTGGGGGGCAGGAGCGGCGCCACCCCCGCGGGGAGGAGCGAGCTCGGAGCCGGACAAAAAGGCACCGAGCCCCGGAAATGCGCTGGCATTCGACTTCCGACTCGGAGTCCGGCAGCAGCTCCGCCAGCTCGGAAGAGCTGATGGAAGCCGCCTGGGATTCCGAGATGGAGGAAACGGAGCCAACGCGATTTAAGACAAAACCGAGTAAAGCTTTAAGCCGCACCGAAAAGCAGCCACAATACGAACCAGCCCAGTTTACCAACTGGGGAGAAATAAAAATAGCCTGTAAATGCAGGTCCCGGCCCCAGGGAAACGGAAAAGGGAGGGGGCGTGCGGCCGCATTCAGCCTCCTCCCGCCGCAAATACAAGGCGGCCAATCTATGCCAACCCCCAGTGGGGCGGGGAGCCCTTATACCTCATACCCCCACTAGCGACACAATTGCAGAGTTTCCAAACACAGCCTGTGGTACCTTCGTACCCACTACCACCGCAAGCAGCGCCTGTGCCGTAGGGTCAGCGGGGGACGCCCCAGAATGGGACCCCTGGGTGGCCCTGGCCATGAAAATAGGGAAGGAGCCCCCGAGGGTGTGGGGGACATGCCGCCTTTATGGCAGTCAGGACCCCCACGTAATAGGGCTTCAGTTTTGGGCAGACACAGGAGCAGACTGCTCGATATTTCCCCAAGCACTGTGGCCCCGACACTGGCAATTCAAAGAAGTCCCCCCAGTGAACGGAGTGGGAGGGCCGTCCCAAGCTTGGAAAAGCACCCAATTAGTAGCTATAACGCTTCATATAAAAAAGAGGACAGGATCAGGTGGTGTCCACTCAGGTCAATCAAACCTGACCTTCAGAATGAAATTAATGGAAAGCTGTGAGTTTCTGTTTGCAGGACATGCTCATGGGCCATCCCCGTGAGGCGTACACCCGTGCTCCAGAGGGAGATGACAGACCACCAAGCCGCCAGACAAAACCCGAGAGTCCCACACCAGTGAGACCCAGACATGCACAGTGTCTTTGTGCGATTTTGCTGTTGGGCCTTGTGGCCGGGGGGCAAGCCGACCCAGGCCACTACCCTCATCAGCCATTTAGGTGGGTCATGCAACATCTTTCAAGTGACAAGGTGTTCAAAGAGGTCACCACAGCACACACCCCATCCTTCGTGTTCCACATAGCCGACCTGTTTCCAGGACAACCAAAACTGTTAGGAAAATAAGGCCTTTTTGTTCATAATATAGAGTTTTCACATCTATAAAATAGAATCTTTACTTAGAGTTTTCACTTGTCTGAACATGTTCTCATTTTGCCAAGCATTCCAGAATATCTTTCAAGGACAACTTCGTTATACACTGCTTTAACTAATTTAGGGAGTAGAAGTTGGTTGTTAGGCATCAAAGCACCTAAGCGAATATCTTCAAGGACAGTTCCGTAATCCTGTGGAATGCGAGTAAACGTGCCTAGAGATAACATTTCTTGTTTTGAGAGAATTCCCAGATCACAGAAACAAGCCTGAGGAAGACTACTGGCCTTCATCCCACGACCACCAAAAGGCAGAAAACGACCACCTAGCAACAAGGTGCACCTGCGCAGAAAAGACACCAGAACGTCACACTTCCGGAAGAGAAGACCCAATAAGTTGGGGGGGAATGGGGCACGAAAGGGCGGTAGTTGGAATAACTGCCGCCCAGCGCGCTGATTTGCTTTCGTTTCCTACCATTAATAAATCTTTTTAATTGGATTAGAAAGCCTATTGTGCTCGTTCATAACAATTTGGTGCCGTGACTCGGATCGCGGATCTGGGGAACCTCTCTCTGAGAGGGGCGCCACGATTCCGCTCCTTTGAGCGGACTCAGACCGGGGTTTCTACCCTCATCCCGACCGACGAACCTAAAAGCCTAGAAAGCGAAAGCAAAAAAAAAAAAAAAGGAAAGGGAAGCGGGCCCAGGGTACCCCTTAAATTTTGTGCACAAAGTCCGGACGAAGACGCAGGACGCGTAAGTATAGAGGGATCCGTCCGGGCGGGGTTCGGGATCCCGGAGTACGGCGAGTGTGTGTGTGAATGAGAGGAGAACCGGCAGCCGGATTCTCCAAGCAAGTGTGGACCCTTAGTAGTGCGTTTTCCAGAGCTCGCGAGGGCCTGGGCCACGAACCAGGGGAAGCGATTGTGCTGTCGTGAGTGATTGAAGGTACTCCGGAGGACATGGGGCAGGGGAAGAGTAGGAGTAAATCCCCCTCCCCGGTGGGGGTAAAACTTCCCCCAATTCCTAAGGATAGTCCCTTAGGGTTTATGCTGACGAATTGGGAGCACCTTCCAGGAGCACCTGGGAAGGATAAAGCAAAGATGATACACTATTGCATAGAAGTATGGGGAGGACAAGAGATTTCTAAAGGTGTTTTTTGGCCCATCTTTGGGTCCTCAGAAGACTGGGTAAAGCAACTGTTAAATGGTTGGATAAACACTAAACAACCTCCTAACCCTGAGGAGAGTGCCTATGCCCGAGTCTGGACAGAAAAACCGGAGGTGCTCGTGTTTAAACTCTCGAGGTTTCAGGGGGAAAGAAAAAGAAAGGGCGAGCGGAAGAAGTAATTATTGCACCCCCGCCTTACATTCCCCCTGCGCCGAATGCACCCCCTCCTCCTCCACAATCGGATGAGGAAGAATCAGACTCAGACTCTGATCAACCCTCAGGCTCGCGTGGTCCTCTTACCCAAAGTAAGACGCGAGGCAAACTATTCCCTTTAAGGGAAATGCCCATGGGCAGACCACAGCCGGGGATTGGATTCATTTCGGTGCCCTTGAGTTCAGGGGATGTTAGAGACTTTAAGAAGGAGATGGGAAATTTGTTAGAAGACCCCCTGGGCGTGGCAGAGCGGGTGGATCAATTTTTAGGTCCTAATATATACACTTGGGAGGAATTACAATCTATACTTAACATTTTATTCACGGTTGAGGAAAAGAACATGATAAGAACTGCTGGTATGCGGGTCTGGGATGCTCAACCTGCACATGCCCAGCAGCGGGCCGATACCAAATGGCCTCTCGAGAATCCCAATTGGAATAACCAGGATCCGGTCCATAGAGCTAACATGCGGGACTTTCGGACCATATTAATTGATGGCATAAAAGAGTCCGTTCCTAGGGGTCAGAACATAAATAAAGCATTTAATGACAGACAAAAGAAGGATGAAACCCCCACTGAATGGTTGGAGAGGTTAAGGAAAAGTTTTCAGCTGTACTCGGGGTTAAACCCGAATGACCCAATGGGACAGGCAATTCTTAAAGTCCAGTTTGTCTCTAAGTCCTGGGATGATATTAGGAAAAAGATACAGAAAATGGATGATTGGCAGGACAGGGGTTTAGAGGAATTATTGCGAGAAGCACAGAAGGTTTATGTCCGAAGAGAGGATGAAAGTCAGAAGAAGCAGGTGAAAATGATGGTTGCTGCGGTAAGGGAAAGCAGGCGGGCGGAGGAAGGACAGAAGAGAGTCACTCGGAATAGGGAGGGTGACAAGGGAAAGGTTGGAGAAAGGGTGTGTTATTATTGTGGTAAGAAGGGACATTTCAAAAAGGAGTGCAGAAGGAGGCTTAAGGACGAGGAGGAGTTCAAAATCGAATAGGGGAGTCAGGGGCTCTATTTTATGGAGACCGGGAAACATCAAAAAGAGCCCTTGATAAAATTGAAGGTGGGTCCCCAGAGCCAAGAAATAAATTTCTTGGTCGATACGGGGGCAGAGAGATCTACTATTCAATTCCTGCCTCAGGGCTGTAATTTATCGAAACAGACAGCCACAGTAATAGGAGCTAAGGGAGAACCATTTGAAATACAAATTATTAAAGAGGTGATGGTAGAATCAGGAACTAAGATGGGGGTGGGTGATTTCCTATTAGTTCCTGAAGCGGACTACAATTTGTTAGGGAGAGACTTGATTGTTGAATTAGGAATTCAAATTGAAGTAGTAGAAAAAGAGTTAAAGATTAGACTCTGCCCCCTCCGTTTAGAAGACGAAGAGAAAATAAACCCTGAAGTATGGTATAATCCAAGAACCGTGGGCAAATTAAATATAACCCCATTTACAGTAAAAATCAGGAATCCCGAGGTCCCGGTAAGAATAAAACAGTATCCAATTTCACTAGAAGGGAGGAAAGGGTTAAAACCTGAAGTTGAAAGGCTGTTAAACAAAGGACTACTAGAACCATGTATGTCGCCTTTCAATACCCCGATCCTGCCAGTAAAAAAGGCAGATGGATCCTACCGATTGGTGCATGATTAAATGTTCGAACTCAGCCACGAGCTGATATAGGACTGTCCCCATTTGAAATGTTGTATGGGATGCCCTATTCCCTAGAAAAAGTTCAAACTAATCCTAACATTACTGATCAAAGTATTAATAAATATTTAACCACTTTAATGAAATATAAAAAACAGTTATGGAAAAAGGGGATGTGGGCCCAAAGACCACCCCTAGATCTTGTGTTACACCAGGTACAACCCGGCGACTGGGTCCTCATCCGAAGCTGGAAAGAAGATTCAATCACCCCAAAGTGGGACGGACCATACCTGGTTTTAATCACCACTGACTCCGCAGTAAAAAGGACTTACAAATAATTTTCATGAACACTATCAACTCTAAGGACATTTGGGTTGGGGATAACTGGGGACTGCAAGTACAACTGGTGGGAGAAACAAAACCCCCAGGATACTGTAAACGTCTAGAGGATTCAGCCCAGCAGCCCTTTTATCGGTTCATCCGACTTGAAAAAGAGCAGAAACCTTGGGAGGGGGAGGGCCATGCTGAACATCAAAGTATTAGAGTAAAGTGTAGCTGGTTAGATTGTCATTGTTACCCCTTTGCCTGTTTTTCCTGCAAAATCTGTAAAGGATTGTGGTGGGCTCACTGCAGAAAGGGGAGAGCTCCGAAAAGTATATGTCAACGCTGCTGGCTGGAGCAGCGCAGATTGACCTCTGAAGTACTAAATTACAAGGTTGCCACTCGGGAATTGATTAAAGGATCCCCTGAGTGGTGGGAGATTTTCGTAAAAGGAATAAACCCTGAATTCCACTGTTACCATTCCAATAAACCCCTAGGTCCATTCCTCACGGATATAGTCCAAGTCAAGTGTCGCAAATTAGTCAAAAGGCTCAGGTGCGACACCCCACAGTTGAATGCGAAAAACTGGAACTCCCGGAGGTCAAAGTGGGAGAGAGGGAACGATCCCACCCCTGAAGAATATCTCTGCTGTCGAGAAGATGGCTTACCCTGTAACTTGTAGCAACCAAGTTGACAGGCGAGACAGAGAGGTAGGTAGTGGGGTTGAGAGGCCCTCCCAAACCTTGAAAAAGAATATAAATCATCATGGGTATGAGAATGGTGACAACGGAATGAGGGAAAATGGGAATGTAAAACTGAGCATGATAAGTAACATCCTCTCCTGCAGTGCGTATCACTCAATCCTACGGGTTTTTATGTTTGTATGGCTTCCCCTCCAGAGTGCCACAGTTAATATACATGAACCCTTTAAATGAACCTTAAGCAGATGGGAGGATCACAATACCCGTCATATTTTACAGACAATAACGGGACCTGGAGCACCGAGCTTTAAGATTGGGATTTGTGATTTAACTCAAAGTTCAAAATGTGGGCAGCTGTTAAATTTAACAAGCTTCTATATGTGCCCTGCCTCGAACCCAGGGAAGCAATACTGTAATTACCCTAGACATTATTACTGCGCCTATTGGGGTTGTGAAACAATAGCATCAGCGTGGGCTCCGGGTGGAGGATTAGACAAATATTTAAAGGTAGGGCATGGACCAGCAGGGTGTAAACGACCACAAGAGTGGCCTTGGACTGGGAAAAACTTACTTGGAAACTGCACCTTTCTTTACCTAAATGTCACTCAACCAAGTGATTCTGGATGGTTAATAGGCAAAACATGGGGAATTAGGCATTGGATAGAAGGACATGATCCAGGAAATCTGATACAAATAAAAAAGGAGGTAGCTCCACATGACCCTAGTCCTATAGGCCCAAATCCAGTAATAAGCAATGACTTAAAAGAGAGTAATAAAACCAGAGATAATGTTGTAAAATCAAACAAAATTGATCAAGAACCTCAGATACTAGTGCAGAAGTATACAACCTTATGGAAAATTATGCAAGCTACTTTTGGAGTTTTGAATCATACTTATCCTAACTTAACCAAGGGGTGCTAGCTTTGCTATATGATAAATCCACCCTTTTATGAAGCTATTGGGATTACATCTGAGGCAAGAGAAATAAATGGTACAAATCCAAAGGAGTGTCTCTGGGGAAAGAGAAGAGATAGTGTTTCAGGCATTACACTGTCCCAGGTTAGTGGACAAGGAAAGTGTGTAGGAAAAGTTCCAGCAGATATGATGGCTGAATTACGCAAACAAATAGAACAACGAAAAAGAGAAAAAGAATCCCAGCAGAGCTGGTATGAATCCTGGCTTACCTATTCTCCCTGGCTAACCACTCTATTATCCACCCTTGCAGGACCAGTAATTTTACTAATTCTAGTACTTACTTTTGGGCCATGTATTCTTAACAAGCTTATTACACTAGTAAAAAATAGATTAGAAGCTGCACATTTAATGATGGTAAAACCAAAATACGAGCCACTTAGCGAAGTAGAAACTGAAGATTATTTAGAATTAAGCAAAAGGGAATTAGAGCGCTTTATTGAACAAAAAGAGGTTTAAAATAAAAAGGGGGGATATTGTTAGGAAAATAAGGCCTTTTTGTTCATAATATAGAGTTTTCACATCTATAAAATAGAATCTTTACTTAGAGTTTTCACTTGTCTGAACATGTTCTCATTTTGCCAAGCATTCCAGAATATCTTTCAAGGACAACTTCGTTATACACTGCTTTAACTAATTTAGGGAGTAGAAGTTGGTTGTTAGGCATCAAAGCACCTAAGCGAATATCTTCAAGGACAGTTCCGTAATCCTGTGGAATGCGAGTAAACGTGCCTAGAGATAACATTTCTTGTTTTGAGAGAATTCCCAGATCACAGAAACAAGCCTGAGGAAGACTACTGGCCTTCATCCCACGACCACCAAAAGGCAGAAAACGACCACCTAGCAACAAGGTGCACCTGCGCAGAAAAGACACCAGAACGTCACACTTCCGGAAGAGAAGACCCAATAAGTTGGGGGGGAATGGGGCACGAAAGGGCGGTAGTTGGAATAACTGCCGCCCAGCGCGCTGATTTGCTTTCGTTTCCTACCATTAATAAATCTTTTTAATTGGATTAGAAAGCCTATTGTGCTCGTTCATAACAAAACTACGGCCCACAAACCCACGTATCGTACTCATGTACGTATCCTACTGGTGCCCAGCGTCCAACCCAGGGAAAAGGTACTGCGACTCCCCGGGGTGGGGACATTGCGGATATTGGGGCTGCGAAACCATTGTTACAGATGCCAGACCATGGGGAGATGGGTGGCAACCACAGGAGCCCGACAAATTCTTACAGTTCACCTGGGCACCCTTTGGCTGTGGAGACCACAATGCACAGACTAGATATTGGGGATGCGCAAGTTATAACATGACTGTCCTACAGCCAGATCACCCTAGCTGGGCCACGGGTAGAACATGGACAGTGGTCCTCAGAGGACCGAGGAGGTGGGTGAATGTACGAATTATCAGGCTCCAACCACCAGCACCTCAACCAGTAGGACCCAATAAAGTTATCAAGAACGTGCTAAAAGGGAAAAACACAACCCACCCCAAAACCTTGCCCCCAAAAGTCACTGACTCCCCGACCGGCCATGCAGATGCCCTCTGGATAGGCCGCATGGCGGAGTCAGATCCAAACCCAATCTTTTGTATGCTAGAAGCTACCTTTCTAACCTTAAACGAAACCAAACCGAACCTGACTAACTCCTGTTGGCTTTGCTATGACGTTAAACCCCCTTTCTATGAAGGCATTGCTTTAGACATCCCCTTCAATTACTCCACAGCCAGTGCCCCCCACCAGTGCAGATGGGACACTCCCCACAGAGGAATCACCCTGAGTCAAATCACAGGACAGGGCAGATGTTTTGGCAATGCGGCTTTAGCAAAGCAGAAAGGCAACTTCTGCACTGAAGTTGTCAAGCCCGACAGAAAAACCAATAAGTGGGTGGTCCCATCCGCATCTGGGATGTGGGTTTGCCAGAGATCTGGAGTGAGTCCTTGTGTGTTCCTTGCCAAATTTAATGACTCTATCGACTTCTGTGTCGAAGTTCTGATTGTCCCCAGGGTCTTGTATCACTCAGACGAAGAGATATACCACCTTCTCGAGGAACCTGACAGACTCCACAAAAGAGAAATAATCAGAGGTATAACTATCGCAATGCTGCTCGGCCTGGGAGCAGCTGGCACAGCCACGGGTGTCTCATCCATCGCAACCCAACAGCACGGACTCTCTCAGCTGCAAACGACCATCGACGAAGACCTGCAGAGGATTGAGAAATCCATCTCCTATCTAGAGAAATCAGTCTCTTTGCTTTCAGAAGTAGTTTTACAAAATAGGCGAGGACTGGACCTCTTGTTCATGCAACAAGGAGGACTGTGTGCAGCCTTGAAAGAGGAATGCTGCTTTTATGCAGATCATACGGGAGTCGTTAAAGACTCCATGGCAGAACTCCAAGATAGACTGGCTCCGAGAAAGAGAGACAGGGAAACCCAACAGAGCTGGTTTGAATCCTGGTTCAATCAATCACCTTGGCTCACCACTTTAATTTCCGCCCTGGTAGGTCCACTGGCAATACTGCTTTTAGCTGTTGCCATAGGACCATGCCTGCTGAACAAAGTAGTCTCGTTTGTTCAGGCCCGTCTAGAATGGGCAAACATTCTGTTCGTAGGCCAGCAACAAATGCTGTAAACCAAAAACCTCGAACACAGTCAGTCGCAAAAGCCTTCGAGACTCGCCTCGCGAAAATTACTCAGGTTTACCAAACCACCTTTTCCTTACCAAGTTACAAGTTTGTACCTCACTCCAGTGCCTATATCTACGACTACCTCATTTCATTTATGATAAGGAGGGGGGAGATGTGGTAGATAGGGACAGGCGAGCGGAAGATCTCGGGATGTGACGGAAAGAAAGACCCTTCCCCCCTTCTCCCTGCTTCACGTTATCTATCACCCCCAGAGCATGCAACCACACCTAACCCAGTAGTTTTCCACTCCCGACTAACCTAGAGACCCTACCAACCCCCCTCTGATGTAGCAAAGTCCCCCAAGACTATTTAAACCCATGAGATAAGATAATAAACGCTTTTGACTGTCCACCACATTGGTGTTAGCGTGTTGTCGTTAGCCCGAGTAGCCCGGGCGAGGCCGGGCTACCGTGCTGTCTTCTTGCAACCAGGTCGCCGTTGCCTCCCCTGAAGGCAACAAGAGCACAGTGAGTGGACCAAGGTTTGACTATAGGGATTGGGCACTGCACCTGTATTTCAGAGGACAGGCGGATGCATTCCAGCCAAACTGCTCCCGAGATTAAAAAAGGCAGCTAAGATGTTTCAAACAGCAGGTAAAAAAAGGCACAAACTGCTTTACCCCCCTCCCCCCTGGCTCAGCAACAACAAAGGTAGCAATAGTGTGGTGGTGACCTATCCTATGCTTTTTCTAACCTTTCTCTACTTTTCTCTTTCTTTCTCCTTGCCTCTTTTACTATTAAATTAAATATATTCATTTTTTTGTATCAACATTGAACCTCATTTGGTTTGTATCTCATTTCAGGGAATATTTTGAACCTTTAGTGTTCTTCCCATTTCATTCACAGAGAGTTCTATTTGCTCTTCTGTGCTTTTAGCGGATCATAACAAATG